TAGAATTTCGCATCGGCAAAGTATGATTCAGCCTCGGTAAAGGGCTTATCATCGGCAACTATCTTCTTTTCGACCCCATCTTCACAGTACTTCAAGCACTGATAGTAGGTGGATGAAACCACTTTGTTCTCATGTATCCATGGCCTTCCTAAAAATATATTATATGAGGTCTTTGCATCGATCACGTGCATCCATGCACTCAAATGCAAATCTCCCATATTTATTTCCAATTTGATAGCCCTTATAGCTCTTTGCCCCCTTGATTGAACCCTTGAATCATCAAACAACTTTCACATAGTTCATCCATAGGTATGCCAAGCTCTTTGACAGTACAGATTGGGAGAATATTGATGCCAAATCCATCATCGATCAAGATTCTACTCATTCTCTGTTCTCGCACAAAGCCAACCATGAATAGGGGATGATTATGGTGTGTTTCACCAAGCAAAAGATCATCACTAGTAAGTTTGATTTTTGCATCTCAAATGTCCGCTTCTTCAGAATTCTCAGTGAGTTTTTCAGGCAAGGGAGGTGGCAACAATGATGGATCTTCCTTCTTTGTCTCTTATTCATCTATATTACAACATGAGGCCTTGATATATTCACAGGAAGCTTGTGGGTGTAACAAGCTTGACAGAAATTCATTCAATGTCACTGGACGACGTAGCCTTTGATAGTGATTCTCCACCATTTTTGCTTTTGTACAATTCTTCTTTATCATTTTCTTCTTGGGTCTTTTCACCATTTTTTGCCTAGTCAACTGCTTATTTGATTCCCTTTGTGAATTTGTCTTGCAGCGTCTCCATCGAGTCACAAGAATCCAACCTTTATCATCAGTTTGATCATCACGTGATTCACCTTCCTTTTGAGATCTTTTCTCCACTATTAGTTTATACACTATAGGGAGAAGCAATGGTTTGCTCACATCGATAGGTTCAAAGTCACCAAATTTAATCATATTTGGTGATGATGCAGTTTGGATGCCATCACATTCATATACTTTGACAAAATTGCAAAGGAAAATGGGATCAAATGAACCAAAAATGAAAGAGACTTGATTCGAACTGTCTTTCTCATCCTTAAGCAAGATATTTCCTTCAGCGGCCAAGTCCATGACTTTCTCCTTAAAGACAAAACACTTTTCAATAGGGTGGCCAATCAACCGATGATACTTGCAATAATTCGGATCATTAGTCCTTCCAGCTTCGTCTGGCCGCGTCATTTCAGGTAACTCAATGAGTTTCAACTCAAGGAGTTCTTCAAAAAGTGCTGTAACATCAGAGTCCAAGAATGGATATTCTTTCGCTTGTATTTCCTTCAGAGTTAATTTTCGGCCAACTTCATCCTGTAAGGACGTTGTCTTCACACTTTGCTTCTTACTCACTTTTGTAGTGATCTTTAATGGCGAGGCGTTAACATTCATTGATTCCTTGTTCTCAGAATTCGGCACGAACTTGCCTCCTTTCTTTATTTCTTGTTTATCCTTCACTTTACGAGGTTCATAAACATGTGGCCCTTGATTTCTACTTGAAGACATGCTTAACTACATATCATGAGCACGTGTAGCCAATTCTTCAAACGACTTAGGCTTGATACCCTGTAGGATGTAGCAGAGTCCCCAATGCATTCCTTGGATACACATTTCTATTCCATAAGCTTCACTAAGTCTGTCTTTGCAGTTGAGGCTTGCATTCCTCCATCGATTGCTGAAATCAACGACTGGTTCATCCTTCTATTGACACGTGTTTGTGAGTTCAACCATACTTATAATGCGCCTTGTGCTATAGAAGCGATTGAGAAATTCATGTTCAAGTTGCACCCATCTATCGATGAAACCAGCCTTGAGATCAGTGTACCAATCAAAAGCATTTCCTTTTAAGGAAACGACAAATTGCTTGACAAGATAATCTCTATAGGTTCCAACATTATTACAAGTTTCGACGAAGTGTGCAATGTGTTGCTTTGGATATCCTTTTCCATCAAATTGTTGAAATTTTGGGGGTTGATAACCTACAAGCATCTTCAAACTATCAATTCTCACAGTGTATGTCTTCGCATATGCGAGAGAAGACTTGGCAGCAACATCGTACTTATCTTTTATGGTTCCCATGATGAAGTTTTTCAATTGGTTAATGGGAATAACCTCGTCAAATGAAATCTGAAATTCTTTAGGAGCCGTTGTCTGCCTTGCAGATGAGTCTCCTTTATCTTGCATCATAGGGAGCTTTCCAGGTGCATGACTTAAATCTCCCTCCATCATGCTTTCAACTCTATCTGTCAGCTTGCCAATTTGATTATCTTGATCTTGCATATGCTTCGTCAACCCCTCAATTGCCTTTGTTAAATTTGCGAGTTGTACTTCAACAGTTGAAGTGTTAGTCACCATTGCTTGGATAACTGTCGTGGATGGTGGAGCAAAGCATGGATTTTCTCTTATACCATACTTTGAGTGGAACAACTCACGTGGAGTGCTTGGAGCAGATCCAGTGATCAAGATATCATCATCATCATCCTGTGTGATGAGATTCTTAGATCTAGATAGGCTAAGTAGAGCCAATATCTTCTCAACGATTTCAGCAATGTTCGCTCCTTCTTCCAATTCAGTTGGAAATGATCTTACCCCATTTGAGGATCGAAAATCAAAGATAGGAACTGATGCAGACGGCATTTGAAATGCTTGTTGTCCGAGCAAGTTTTCCTTGTTCCTAGTGACAGGTCCTACGCTTTCCATAGTAGCATCCAACAAGTTTTCCACATCAGATGAAAACTTGAAATCCGTAGCCTTAGCAGTAGTGAGTTTGAAGTTGATCTTCTTAGGAGCAATTTCTGTGTTCTTGAAATTTGATAATTGAAGAGATGAGAGGTAGAGATGGTCCCACTGGGCATGCCAGAAATTTATAACTACAAATTTTCGCTCCTCGAGAAAAATAAATAATCAAGACTGGAAAATTGCGCAACAAATGTAGTGATTTCAGTAAATGATGAGTGTTACAATATCTATGGTATTTCTCTGATTCTTCAAGAATGTAAACTATCTTGATAAGCTTGATTTTAATTTTGATTCGAGGGCTTGTAAAGCTTGGTCTTGAATCTCTTTCTTGAGCTTGAGTTTGGATTTGATCACAAATAAGTAGTTTGATCTTGAACGCCTTGGTATTTGATTTGGCTTCGTTCTTGATCTTGAACTTGAACTTGAATTTGTAGCTTGTAGAGAAATCTGTGGTGTTTGATCCACGAGCTCTCCGCTAGTTTCTTGTTATCACTTCTGGTGTCTTCTAGCTTTATGAAAACCTCTATTTATAGTTGTAGGGAGTGGTGTGACTTTGCGATTTGATTGGTCCGTTTGAACTGACCAATACCATCTTGACGCTTGGCACAACTCTATTGGTTGTTGATTTGGCTTGGATTGTCACCCTTCTTGACATGTGGCACGATTTCATTGGCTCATTTATTTGATTTGGATTGCCACATCATTTGACACGTGGCATGATTTTGTTGGCTCATTTATTTGTCTTGGATCGCCACATCACTTGACATGTGGCATGAGCCTGCTTTAAGATGGGCTAATAGCCATTTGGACCTTGGGCTAATGAAGTGGTTTATCATTTAATTTGTAGTCCAATTAGATGGACTAGCTCAATACATATATATTAAATTTAAATAAGAAAAAAAAATATAAATAGCCATCCAGCTGTCTCCTTTTTCCCTATTTAGCCGTAAACTTTCATCAACAAAAAATAGCCAATCCGTTGATACCCTCTTCTATCAACTAAAATAAATAAAAAATAAAAAACCCTTCCTTTTATACGTTGCCTTATCTTCTGCAAATATCCATCAGAAAATTATCATAATCTTGTCCTTCTTTGCCCAAAAAATATTTCGATCTACATTCAATAATAATTACTGAAAGAGAATCTCCATCAACAACCAACAAAATTAGAAAATACTGATTATCATCAGAAGGAGGAAGGAAGAACAAATATACCAATTGCAACTCTTAAATACCATTATCTTCTTCTTTATCTTTTCCACCCCCATTAGCCACCAATGTATAAACTATGTAATCATTGTATGCTTATTGCATACTTCGTGTATATTCCTAAATTATGCACTGAATATATATTAATTATACATTATACACATGTTATATAAAGTATATACATAAGTACATCATTGTTATACAATGTTAATTTCACTGTTACACAGTGTTTATTTTACTATTATACAATGTATAAATAATTGCTATACAAAAATTCTTACTCACAAGCACCACTAGGACGAGAAAAGAGAAAAATATTCTAGATCCACCGCCCAAAAAAACTGCCCAATTAGGTTTGAGGCGAGAGAAAGGATGGAAAAAATTAGTGGGTTTGAGGAAGGAAGAGAGAAGAAAGAGAAAGAAAAAAAGAAGGCCAGCAAAATTGTGAAGAAGAGAGAATAGGGGGACGATGCCGAGAGAGAGAAAGGAGAGATGTGAGGAGCGATTATGTTTACTGGGGAAAGTGAGAGTAGGGTTAAAAAAGGTAATAAAAGGAAAATACGACTACTTAAAGTTTTAATCTTATATGGGTTGCTATTTCAGTTAATAACTCTTTAAATAATTAACCCAATTTACTAGCCACAATATTTATTTGAACTTAGTATCTTGAGTTTAATATGGTCCAAATTATTTTATGGATTTAAACCCGATAAAATTTAAATGCTTACACTACTAATTGAACAACAAAAAAGAAGAAGATCCCGTATAGTTTAAATTTAAAGGGAAGTTGTAAATAAGATGAAATGAATTGAATTGATTTGATACTCGGTCATGCTATATCTACAAAATCTCTTATTTATAGCTATAACACTAGTCGTTGTGTACTGGAATCACCTTGTTGTTGTACTTCCATTTTCTTTAAATTCGATATATCCTACCTAGAATTGGAACAATTTACTGGTCATTCGATGTCTTAAGACAAGTATTGATTTTTAATCTCTTCATCGACCGGTCACATATATACGTGCAACAAGAAACCTTAACTTGCATCATGAATTAAGAAAATATCACATAAAAACAGACAACTCAACCTTGACGAAGCATAAAGACTTAACTCATCCTGCACTTTCCAAAATGCTCCAATCTCTAAAAACATAACCAAATGTACTAACCTACAAATATTTGCACATCAATAGTAACTGGTAAATATAGTAACCACTATGATTCTAATTCAAGCCAAAGATTTCAAACTCCGGTTGATCCAAAGCCTCCAGAGCCCCTAACTGTCGAGTCTAGATCATCAACCTCCTCGACATCTGGCACTATGATTTTCTCTATGATCAATTGAGCAATTCTGTCACCAATTTTCACTTCAAAATCAACATCACAATGGTTGAAAAGAATAACACCAACTGCTCCCCTATAGTCTGCATCAATCACACCTGCCCCAACATCTATTGAATGTTTCCATGCCAATCCTGATCTTGGAGCTATAAAAGAAAAAATCACAAACTAATAAGCTCCTAATCCTCTAGAAAATTTAGCATGAAATTTCAAAATATCCAGCCTAGCTTATTAACTTATTACAACTTATGGATTATCAAACTAAATCACTTTACCCTTCGCATTCATTTATTCAAGAATGATAAATACAACCTGAACCCAAAAGATATCTACAAGTAAGCTCCTTGTAGGATTTATTTATACTTTTAAAAATAAAACAAGTTACTATATACAAGAAGTAAAAATGACCTAGTAGTGTAAAAATTCCTACACTAATGGTCGTATATAACTTAAAAATAACTATCTACCAGCTAATATATTTATTTATTCATTTAGCAAAATGGTAAACTTTTTAAGGTGCATATCTAAAGTAGAATCCTCTTTTGAAACTTGTATCAATCGTCTTTTCCATTTTCTATTTAAGTGTGTTTGGTATGAGGAAGTGGGGGAAAAAAAGAATATACCTATACGGGCATAGGTTCCTTGAGGAACGGCAATACTAAGATCTGTGGGTACTAGAGCCTTTCCCCTGGCTGGCACTTTTGTCTCCGCCGCACTGCACCAGAAGTAGGGAGGGAAAAAGTTACAGATTCCCAAAATTGATTACACACCAAATTGAGGAAAGATTTAGATTCGTGAGATCGGTTCATAAAATTCAAGAAAAAGAAAAAGGGGGGAAACCTTGAGAGATCGTAGCCAGCAGAGAGAGGGGAGCCTCTGGAGGGCAAGACAGCATTATCAGAGAGCCTTTTGACGCGGAAGAAGGAATTGATGCCATTTGCAGCCATGTTTAGATGTGGAAATGGAAAAGCTCGAGAGAAGAAATTGTAACCGTGGTTTAATTTGGAGATGGAGAAGGGTTTCAAGATTGCGGAAGAAGGCTGATGTAGAGGTTTATAACTGACCAGGAAATGTGGAATAGCGCCAAAAGTTCCCGCCATTCTGACACACGGAATTGAGGGCAAACTGAACCTAATACTTATGTGTGTATCGATTAATAAAAAGAAAAAAAAGTTAAATTCTAAATGGTGATAAGTGTGACTTTTTTATATTGTGAATGCAATGTACTACGTAGCATGTTATAATATGTTAGTATTATTTTTGCTAGGTCTGTAATTAATAATTTTCTAGAAATTTATTTATAATTGTCTCATAAGTAACTTGATTACATTATTTTTTTATACCATTAAATTATAGAATTTAATTCACAAAAGGATAAAAAGAAACAGAATATTCGTATGGACGAGAAAATTAATAATATATGTACAAGAAAATAATACTTCATCCTTCCTCAGAGTCTTGAGGAGGTGGACAAGATTTGTAGGGACTATATGTGGGGAAGTTCTGAGGAGAAGAAGAAAATACCATTGGTAGCTTGGGTAAAGAGTCTGTTATCCTAAGAAGTTAGGGGGTCTGAATATTAAAGGTAGCTGGAACATAGCTTCAGTAGGGAAGTTGCTATGGCAGCTGCTCGTGTGTAAAGAATCACTGTGGGTTAAATGAGTGCATGGTATATATGTGAGGACTGTAGCTGGTATTGGAAGAAAATTAATAGTCTCAAAGTTCAAATGCAGGGATGGTACACACAGGATAAGTATACAGTTACCGTGAAAGGTGACTATTTCATTACTAGTAGTTATCTTGCACTCTTAGATGCCAAACCAAGTCTTGAAGATTTAATATGGACCTCTTTAGATATGCCAAAGCAGAGAATTATACTCTGGCTGGCAATGCAAGGAAGGTTACTCACTAAAGAAAGACTCCTCAAACTTCAAATACAAGCAACTGATGTCAGGTGTTGTTTATGCGACGATCAAGCAACAGAAACAAATGCTCATCTGTTTGAAGCTTGCAACTGGTTTAAGGCAATAAGACATGAAGCAAATCAATGGACAGACATCAAATTACCAGCAGGAGATATCACACAAGTTTTGGAAAGCATACAAAGAAAGCATTAATGGAAGAAGTATATGAAGGAGCTGATAACTGCAATATATGGAGCTTTAATATATCACACTTGGCGAGCTAGAAACTGAAAATTGTTTAGAGGCATAAATGTACATAAAGAGGAGGTAGCACTACAGATTAGAAAGGAGATTGCAGAAAGATTAGATATTACTAGGAACTCGAAAAGAGCCAATAGATGTAGAAGATTAGTGCAACAGCTACTTTGTAATTAGATACCAGTATTTGTTGGAAGCCTTTCTTTTGCACACAGAAGGAGGGTGCTCTTTATTTTTAATATTTTGGAGTTAATGGTAATTGTATACGGTAAAAACCGGTTAGTCCTTCGTACGAACTGGTTTAAATGGTAATGCATTGGATCGGAGAAGCGTCTTCATAGTATCAGGTTGAGGTCCGAAGCCAGGTCACCAAGCTTCGAGCCCGAGGGACCGATCGATGTCGAGCTCGATATCATTATCGAGCTCGAATCCAAATCGAATTATGATGCAAAGTGAAGTTATCGAGCTTATAAAGTAGAGACCGACTAACACTAACCCCGAATCAATATAAGGATCGGCTATTATGTTGACACATTTTAGGAAATGTGAATCCTTGATAATATGGTGCTGTAAAACAGGAGACCGCTTCCATTGATTTTAGCTTAACTAGTCTTTTCTTCTTTTTTTTACCAAAGAAAATATTCAATTTCTTAAAATAATCGTATTAGTAGTAGTTAGAGATTTAAAGTGGCTCATTATCTTTGAAAGAGAAATAAACTTTAGAAGACGGGTAAAAAGATTAATTAACTAACATCTCAGATAACTGTAGATAGTATTAGTATATAATTTACTGTTTCATTTTTTATTTTTATTTTGGAAGTTTTGAAGTGATAAGTGAAAATAAAGTATGCCTTGTATAATATTTATGAACACCTAGCTAGCTAGCTCTGTCCCGTCCCGAGAGATATTTTCTTTAGCTACCTTTTGAAGCTTTCCATACTGAATGATGCTTTATGAAATCATTGGCTGCTTTATGAAATCTTGCACTTTATTCTTCATTTGCATCATTAAATTTTGATTTGTTTTTTTTTTTGGGTTCTAAATTAGCTTTGGATAAGCACATTTAGATTCACTCAAAGCAGGAGATCCTATGTTAGTGTGCATGCTGTGTTTTTCGCTCAAAATCTAGTTTTCTTGTTGCAGCAAAGTACTGAGTTCGTTTTATTTTATATAATTATGTTTGATTAATCATGAAATTTAAGAAATACATGAATATTTTTTAAATTTGTAGTCTTAAATATATTACTATAATATTTGTGTGATTCTAAAACTTTTGAAACTTGTCGTATTGAATATATCGAAACAACTATGATGATAAACGCTTGTCGTTAAAAATAAAATACTCCCTCCGTTTCAATTTATGTGAACCTATTTCCTTTTTAGTCCGTACCAAAAAGAATGACCTCTTTCCTTATTTGGAACAACTTACCTTTATTCAATGATTTATATCCACACAAAATATATGTGCCTCATTTTACACCACAAGTTCAAAAGTCTTTTCTCTTTTCTTAAACTCTGTACCCACTCAAATGAATTCACATAAATTGAAACAGAGGGAGTAAAATTTTTGCCATGGCTTGAAACCGAAAACCGAACCGATTAAACCGAACCGAACATGAATAAACTGAACCGAAGTTATTATGGTTCGGTTTTGGTTATTAAAATCACAAACCGAAAACCGAATTAACCGAACCGAAATTCTACAAAACCTAACCGAACCGACCGATGCCCACCTCTATCGAGAGCTCGAGTCAATATCGAGCTCATAGACAAGAGCCGTTGCAATCCTACTAAAGGAAAGAATCCTGCCAGGAATTATGGAAAAGTTGATTTATCATGGGTCTCCCAGTATCTATTTTTAATTATATATAAAGTAGGATCCCTCCACTATAAATGGGATGGTTATTCTTTCTGTAAGAACCAAGTTTTTGCATACATTGTAACTGAGATATCATACACTCATATATTGAAGAGTTATCCTTTTTAGCTTCATAAATAGATTCATCTTGCTTAATCTATAAATCATCTTCTTCCCAACCTTGCTTATTTTTCATTCTCTATAGCCAACACTTGATATTTATATTCATTCTTACGATTTGTGTTTATACCACATACCCTTAGAACTACGTACAAATTTAACTCAATCCATTTTTCGGTTGTTTCTAAAAAAAAAATACTTCATATTATCTCATTCTATCAATTTTGTATGGCCATTTTTTAAAATTATAACTGATTGTAATTTCTTAAAACACTAAAGTTGTATCAAGTAGCTATAATTTTCGATCGCATGTAAAATGACTAGTAAACATAAACAACATTTCCCCTTCAAATTCTTGATCCAAACTAAAGATACAAGCACATCCAAAAGAAAAAGTCACAAAAAGTTTTTTCAAATAAGTTTAGGGCCTCCCATCTCCACCAAAATAGCTCTTTTTCTGTCCTAACAATATTAATCCATATTACACAAAATCACCTACCACGTGTTTACCTTTTACACTTCCCCTTTTTTGTCGACGCTTCTTATGCATAGAAACTATCTTTTCCATGCGTACTTTACGCTATATCAACCCGACTTCCTTCTCTTCTACTACTAAACGATAACACCATTTACATACAAAAGGTGTTAAATCAAAATATATCTACATAATTAATTCTTGAATCAAGATCATTAATAGAAAATGAGCCAAGAACAGCCAAGGAAGCCAGATGAAGCCGAGAAAGAAACCGTCAAACATGAGGATCTTGTGGTAAATTTTCAAGGAGCGCTTGCTCGGAAGAAAGCTGTTGCTGAGTCAATTGGTGGACAGGTTCTAAACTACAGTATATGTTTTTCTCCTTTTCTTTTTTATACTTTTTCTCCTATACTTCATTTAATCTTTTTGAATGGTGAACGGATATTTGATCATAGATACCATTTTATGTCTCGGTTATTTTATTCATTTTCTCTCGTTGTTGTTACTGTTTTGTTGTTTCGGCTTCTTTTTCATTTCTCCTTGAGTCGAAGGTTTATCAGAATCGGGATAAGATTTCTATACACACTACCCTCCCCAGACTCCACTTTATGAGATTACACTGATTTTGCTGTTGTTGTATACCATTTTCTTTTGAGCATGTGCGTATACACACACATCGATGTTTTACATGCTAGTGATGTGGCAGAGGTAGAAGCCCAAATGCGAGTGCCGCTGAACCTAGTAACTTTTGCTCAAATGATATATTTGTGTTAATATATTCATCAAATATGTAGACACATTAAATTTAAAATCCAATTATTTGTACTTGAAATTGTCGTTCTAAAATTCAGAACTCGAAGGTTGAAAAATTAGTCTCGCCTCTGCTAGTGATTAAATTGATGTTGATAGTGATGATTTATTTTTCCTGGTCTTTTGAATGGTTTTCATCAAAAAGTCATCAATGCAAGGGGCGTTTGAAAGTAATATTTCAATAATTATGCAAGTTAGTGTAGAGACACTAAATCAATATTTTTCTTTTTTTTGTTCGGTATATGATCTATCATCTTAATTTTGATTTGGGAAATCCAGGTATAATTAAGCATTGTAAAGCGTGACACTAAATCAATATTTTTCTTACTTTTTTTTTTGTTGTAATGTGACCCGTAAAGGTACTTGGGCAAGACAAAAAGGCTCCACTTAGCTCAGAATCAGTATCATCAGGAAAAACAAACATTACCATAGGTGAAGCCCTTGAAGCCACTGCTCTCACCGCCGGAAACAGGCCGGTGGATTACAGCGACGCAGCGGCAATACAGGCGGCAGAAGTGAGAGCCACCGGACGTACTAACATTATCCCTGGTGGAGTAGCTGCTGCAGCTCAGTCAGCAGCTACTCGCAATGCTCGCGTTACCAAAGAGGAAGAGAAAACAAAACTGGCTGAAATACTCGCGGTAAAAATTCTTTAAACTGTCAGCATATATAAGTTAAATTCCTTTCAAATTGTCTTCCATAGTTGTTTTCATTTGGAATTGTTTTTACTTGTGAGTTGTCAACATTATATAAGACAATGTAAAGAACTTCTATGTTATCGTAAACTGCCTTATTTTTCAGGTTACTAATCTCCTGATTTATATTTGGCAGGACGCGAGTACAAAATTACCAGCAGATAAGCCAGTGACACGAAAAGATGCTGAGGGAGTGATAGGTGCAGAACTGAGGAATGATCCAAACTTGTGCACTCGTCCTGGTGGTGTGGCTGCTTCTATTGCTGCTGCAGCAAGGCTCAACCAAAGTCACACCACAACCAGCACCAACAATAATCAAAACAGCAACAGTCTCAAACAAAAATTGAACTAGAACGACCGAGTAAACTACTGTAATATCTAATCCTGCAATTTTCTTCTCCATTTTGACATTTTCTCCGTTGTCTTCTTTCCATACTTTAAATCTTTCTTTTCTTTTCTCTTTTAAAAGCATAACCCCACTTGATGTTTTCTCCTGCCTTTTTGGTCAAGGAACTGTTACAAGCCCTAACTGAGGCTTAGCTATAGGATTGTAATATTGTAGTGAATAATACTTGGAGAATCTGTCTAGTCAGTTTCTCTTCCCTTTCCTCTGTGCAAGGGTTGAAGAGTGTTTGAAGTTTTTTTTTTTTTTGAAGAGCATGTAACTTTTTCGCCCGACTCTTCTGCACGTCCTAGGAGTTAGCGATGTTTTTCCATTACAGTCATAAATGCATGCTTTACACTGTACAGAAGTAATTATCTAGTTCCACACAGTTTGCTGGAAAGCTTCACTTTCCCTTACAATCTGAAAAGTGTTTCATTTGTTATTAAAGTAGCAACTCTTTCTTTCTTTCTTTCTTTTATTTGTGACAAGTGTTGCACAACGGTTGAAAGAAATTATTGTGTCCCTGCTTAATCTATTACATTGTTCCAATAAGCAATGTTGCAAATTTATGTTCTGTTATACAATTTGTAAATTGAAGCTGGTAGAATTTTAAAAACTAAAGTCAAATAGTTTTAGCGGGGTTTGTAACTGAAAGGAAAAAAGAAAGGTTAAGCTAATTTGGGAGGAGTTGTCACCAAGAAAAAAGAGAGGTTAAAAGCTAATTCTTGTGTAAATTACAAAGGAGACGAGCAAAATCTTAGGCTGAAGAAGCAGTGATTACCATTGGTGAAGTCCAGCATCAGGAACAGACTCAAGCTGGCTGCCCAGCCCAACAAGCTGCCGCTGAGCTCGCAGAGACGAGAGCCAACCAAGGAACTCATAAGTCATAACAAACAACTGCAGAACACTAGAATAAGAGAGGTTGATATCCGCAGGCAAAGAGATAATTGTTCTTTATACCTTACAAATGATGAGAACATTTGTATTTGTGAACAATAGTTCACCTATTTAGGAGGAAACACTTACAGTTGTATTTTCTATTTAACCTCAAGTTACAACACATAACTTCCTTCAATACCCTATCACTCAGTCCAAAGAAGCATACTATTGTTCAAAAGTCATGTTAGCCACCTCTTCTCGAATAGAATCAAACAGCACGGTGGAGAGATAACGTTCCCCAAAACTAGGGAAGATAACCTGCATAGAGAATTACAATACAATGCTTAGCTGCAAGCACCTCTGTATGATGTGTTTCCATGCTTCTGCCGGCACATGTCATATACAGGACTTTGAAGTCAGATCAAGTTAGTATCACCGGTTGGCCTTTGTTTTGCAAACTAGGATGTGGATACCAAAAATTCCATCATATATAAGAAGAGCCTGAATAATGCTTAAGCAGAGATTCGTATGACAGTAAAAAATAATACTTACCCATTCTTATCTAGTAAATGTTTACTGCAATCATGTTTCAAAGCACACAATATGACTTCCTATCATTTCTTTATCATCATCTTTGCGTTAAAATATTCAGCTGCTTCTTTCTGCTATAAGAGGTGTCTATTTCAATTTTCAAGCATTCTAATTCACCTAAAATAGATTTTTCCTTGTGTTCGCTGAAGATCATACTCCTATCCAACAGGTACAAGTTACTCTCTTTTTTTTAATTACCGGTAGTGGAACAATTACTACAAAATTCCAGCATTAACCTTCATGCCAAGTACTACGTCGCATATGGAATGAACCAGAGGGAGTACAAAGTAAAATAAAATACTCCTGCTTAGAGTAGAACAGTACATCAATGACTAACTGTGTAGGAAAGAGGGGGAAAAAGGAAAAGAAAAGAAAACAGAACCAACGAATACACATTCATCTCATTAAATGAATAATTAGACAGTGAAAAGTTTCAAGGAAACACAGAAAGAGTGCTATCAGCTTACTGAAATAGATCCAACTTACCGCAATGAGTTTCCCAGCATTTTCTGGCTTTTTTGCTACTTTTATCGCTGCAGCAGCTGCAGCCCCCGACGATATTCCTACCTGAAAATATTCCAGGAGCAAAATGAAGTATAGTTGTGATTATATCAGAATGCACATTGCAAATGAAACAGAGGAAAATGTGTGGACTCGGAAGGATCTTTGTGGACTGGTGAACTTACCAGCAAACCTTCTTTCAATGCAAGAAGCTTTGTCATTTCAATAGCTTCATCACTAGATACCTGAACACAAGTAAAAGCAGTAGCTGTCATCATACCAGGAAATATAGCAAGTAACCCCAGTGGAAGCCAAACGAATTTACGTTGAATAGAGAATGGATATGTTTCAGAGATAGAGTTAGCTGGAAACTTTTTGCATTGAAAACTAAGGAAATATTCTATAAATTCAAACAAGACTGTCAATAAATGACATATCTAACTTTGTCCTACATATATATCTGGTCTATGTTCCCATACTTTATATCTATGTTTATGTGAGTCGTAAATGCATTAGTTTTATGTTAACCAAATTGATATTGTCAGTCAGATCATAGCAGATTCATCATCTGATTAGAGAGTTATCTGTAAGATACATAGGCTTGATAGAATAATCTTGTACACATTGAGCAGAAATTTAAATGTTTAAAAAATCTGGCTGCTATTTATATGGTTTACTGCCTTACTTGAAGAACTTCATCCAGGATGCTGAGATCGAGAACGACTGGGACAAAACCAGCACCAATTCCTTGGATTTTATGTGGCCCTTTAACGGTAATACATTTAATTAAACATATCAGTCTATGATAAATAATAATTCATAGGAGTAGTGATGAAAACAATGTGTACGACATGAGCTGGCAAAACAGTTTATTCAATGTATAGGACTAATGTAATGACATATTATGTTCTATATTTAGCTGGATATTCTGAGAAGACAAAGAAAGAAGGAAACTTTTCGCAGCAGAAAAGTTTGGATGAAAAAATGCAGTACTTAGTCTTTAGCAGAATAGCTTTATTAAGCAGAGGAATAGTCCATTTAGTGCCACAATACAATGCATGTGGGAGATACCTGGATGCTAAAATATAAGAGGGTGATAACTTGAATGAGTTGGTGTGGTTTACTTAAGTAAAATAATACAAATATGATAGGTACTGCTTTATCATGAGATGTGCTTGTGTTTCATGTTCACAGAAAGATGCATCTTTTAAAAATAACCATAAGAGTCTGTGCCCAATTCCTCCAACTAGTACTGCAATTATGAAAATGATAGCACAGCTCCAATCAATTTGACGAGACAACTAGTATGGGGAAAAAAATTGACTGACCTTTTTGTCCTCCATTCAGAATTGCATTTTCGGCTGGTTCCATACCATATACCTGGTTTGTACACAAGACAAAAATAATTAGAAATCAAGACAAAAAGGAAAAAGAACATTACCGCTTTTCTTCCCTCTTGTCAACCCTCTTGATACCCACGTCTTTTTCCATCATTCCACTCACAAATAATCTAACCTTTATTTCTGGATTCTTCTCCTTAAGGAACCTTCCAGCTCCCGTCACTGTGCCTCCAGTTCCAATCCCGGCAATAAAAATATCAATTTTCCCTCCTGTGCACTTCCATATTTCTGGTCCAGTTGTTTCATAATGGATCTGCAAATTGATACTTGATAAGCATGGCATTTCTATGACAAATGAACAAGTTATCTGTAAAGGAGATACCTTTGGATTGGCAGGGTTCTCAAACTGACGAAAGAAATGACAGTTTGGCGTCCTATCTAGTATTTCTTCAGCCTTCTGAAGCACACCATCTATACCTTTGGCTGGATCTGTGATGTATAACTCAGAACCCAAAGCTTTAAGAACAATCCTTCTCTCAAGACTGTATGATGCTGGCATCACTGTCACGAGCTTGTAGCCACGAGCTGCTGCAATAAATGCAAGACCAATGCCGGTATTACCACTGGTCACCTCAAGGAGGACTGTCTTCAGCCGCCATTATTTCGACATTTGAAAAAACAAGGAAATCATTTCAGTTCAGCCTTTCAGGCAAATAATCATTAAGAGCACAGAGAACTAAAAGTAAAAGTTCCATCTCTCTTAAGACAGAATTTGAATAACCTGGTATATCAAGAGAAATGGACATACATGAAAATTTATGTTGAGCCTATTTTAATCATCACATCAGATTTTGTGAAGAAGTATTTGAGAATCATATAGCATCTCTTCAAGCTGTTACTTTTTCCTCCTAATAAGTATTCTCACACGAATTTCACTAACCTTTCCAGGAGTAATCAGGCCCTTATCTTCTGCATCTTTGATCATACTGTATGCCATCCTACATATTAGTAACTAAGGTGAAAAATTCTGTAAAATTTTCAGATTTAGATAAGAACGATTCACACTAGAAACAGGAAGAAAGAAATTCCCAAGAAGAAACTGGATCAGGAGATTGAAAGATAAACACCTGTCTTTGACACTTGAGCATGGTTCCATTGACTCCAACTTGGCTGCAATTTGGGCAGCGCAACCTTCAACGATTTTGTTGAGATATACCATAGGGGTGTTCCCGATAAGCTAGTAACATTGTGAAAACAACAAAATGAGATGATTTGATGCTAAAAAAAGATGTAAAGAGTATCAAGAAAGATCTCAGAAAGAGAACTACCTCTGTGACATCCTTTGCAATATCACTCTTCTCTTCCATAGTTTCTTGCTGAGTTGCTGCAACAAGAAAAAAGAGCTAGCTAATGTAAGAGCTACACATAGTTAAGGATAGGAAGAAGAGAACCTACTTAACCAACTACGCTCTCAAGGAAGTGAAACCACAACATATGATGAGCCAAATAAGGAATGTGTTATATATAACAACCATACAAATAAAAAACCTATTTGATCTTTGACACTCTCTTGGAAGTGAAACCACAACAAAATCATCGACTTCACAAGTTACACTAAAGTTGGAATAGGTTGAAGAAGTTAGAAGAAAAATATGATATTAGCCAACACAAATGAAGAATCTGATCAGGTATCTTAAAGAGGAGAACAAGAAGGAAAAAGAAAAAGAAGAAATGAATCAACTGAAATAGGACGTAATCAGCAAAACAAAGCCAGCTAGATTTGTTTCCCACACAGATTTTATTAGTCTCTCAAGATAGAGGAAAATGAAGGTGGGAGTAAGGAACTACTAAGCTTTACCAATAAAACGGACACGATTATCTGGAACTACAAATGTTTACTCGAAATCAAATGCCATGAATTGACTTCTGTGGAGACCAAATGAGATATCAGAATAGAGTACAACCAATTACAATGAAGGACATAGTTTGTTCCCTTAATTGAAATGAAAACTATAAACTTCTCAAGACTGGTAATAACAAATGAATATTATGAACAAAACGTGATACTGAATATCAGCTAACATAAAATTTACATCAAGTGCAACTAAGGTAGCATGAAACTGAGAAGGAACCCCAGATATTTTCCACAAGAAATAGCATAAAATTAAGATAAATTACATTAGGAGCTGAGAACTACCAAAAATGAAACCCCCAAAGTAATTTAAGTTACAGCAAAAATTTCAGCACATTGTTTGATTAGGTGATCGACTACATAGTGAGCTTTAAAGAAACAGGTATTTATTAGTAATTGCTTCTATAACTTGGAATGGGATGAATTAGCAGACACCCACTTACATAAACCACTCAAGCAGGGCCTTTTCTGAAGAATTCAACTAGTTAAGAAATTTAGAAAGTTACGAAATAATTCAAGAACACAATTTGGTTCTTTAAGTTGTGGTTATGGGGAGAAAAAAACATTACCTAGTGGATGCTTTGAAGTTAGCTAGCTTCCTTATCTTGTGATTCTGCAAAAACACAACAACAACAACAACACAGTATCAAAAACACATATGAACAAAAGATCAAAATGGGTGTATTAATACATTAATACACATTATTATGTGATGTGCAAGTTGTCCAAAATATACTCTTATATTAAAGTGGAGAGCGCTCACTCATTATATAGTTTATTCAATTTTCAATTGAATGAGTCCTCTTTGACTAACATCATATCATAAATTAAAATAGCCGGTAACAAACAACAAACTTTGTATCAGAATAAATACACTTGTTTTATGAAAAAAAAAAGTAGAATTAGACTTTTCAAACATTTAATCCCTAGGAAATCGTAGTGAAAAAAATAATTTGTTTAGCTTTTATTTAAAAATGGATTAAGAAATAACTTTTCATTTTCATGTTCTTATAATTGTGTAACCTTTTTCATTATTATTATTACTATTGTTATTTTTATTACTAGTAGTAGTAGTAGTTAGAATAATCTAACCCGTTTGGACATAAGAATTTTTTTTTTAAAAAAAAAAAAAAATCAAAAACAATGTTTGGTTATGAAAATTTTATAATTTTTCAAATCCAAGTTGAAAATGCATTTTCGAATTTGAAAAATTGCCCAGGACTTGTTTTTCAATGGAAAATTGGAAATTTGGTATTTTTAATTTTTACAAATTTACCCTATATTTTTTTAATTTATAAAAGAACCCCAATCAATTTTTAAATCTAGGTAGCACCTACAAGTTATAACTAGGGGTGCTTATCGGGCGGATAATTATGTTTAACGGTTCGGCTTAACGGTTATCGGATTATAAATATAGTAATTCGCTAGCCATCCAATAAGACAACAGGCAGATTGGTATCGGATTAACAGTTATCGGGCGGCTTATCGGCTAAACCAAATAGTAATTTTTTGAATAATCATTCAATCAATACCAAATAATTTCAAATCAATACCCAATTTTTAATACCATCTAAGATCTAACCAAACGGTATTTTTGAATTGAAGAATCTTCAGGACTACTCATACATGTATTAACCAAGTTCAGTAACCAATCAAACATTCGTTCTTCCAGAAAAGCATATTTTAAAAAAAGGCATAAAACCAGACAATCCATTCAAGTACTTCTAGTTCATTGCACTACAATATGATCGCTGATCAATTCAACAAAACTTATCAATCATCCTCCTGTTCATCTAACAAAAGGTATTAGAACATATAATGGCCACACTTGCTAAGTTGCATGACAAAGAATTGTGTGAGAAAGGATTATCATATTTCAACCCCCTCAGTGATAACCTTTCCTTTGAATTCCTCTTCTGTTTGTTCTGCGAGGGAAGAAGTACAAGTCTTGGCAGCTTTTCCATCTAATATGTGGTGCATTCTTAAGTACCTATGGCGGATAGAAAGTGACATCAAGCCTGTTTTGGTCATACAAAGTGTAAATACATAGGGGTTTCAATAGTATTTTATATATATAAGAGTAAAAGTATAAATATAAAAAAAATTAACGGGTTAACGGTTTACCCGATAAGAAAATTGAGTAATCCGCCCCCAAACCGTTAAGCCGTTAATTATAAAATCTCAATCCGTTCACCATCCATTACCCCGATAATCCGATACCAATAAGCCATCGGTTCGGTTCGGTTCGGTTAACGGTTTCGGTTCGATTTTGAACAGCGCTAGTTACAACTACCCACTTTCCTCTTCCATAACAAAAGATACAAAACACAAGCAGCAGACATATCTACCTGAATGAGCCACTACAACTTCTATTAGAGATTGTTCATAAAGCTAAAACACTCACCAGGTTTGATTGTTTGTTTCAAGTAGGATAATCAAGTCGGGGTGATTTTGATATTTTTTACAAATTGTGAGGTATAAATCATGCTTCATGGTTTTACAAAAAATACATCCAAATATGTTACAAAAATTATAACCAAACACAACTCCATTTTCAAATCAAATTTTAGTAAAATTTTAAATTTGAAAAAACATCTTGGAATTTATTTCCAAACGCCTGCTAAGAATCCATTTTGTTCTTTCTGATTATGGGGAAGAAAACAAAACCTCGTGGATGCTTTCGCTTTTGTTAGGTTTATAATTTTGTGATTCGGCCAAAAACTCATATAAAAACACTCATTTCCTATACTCTTTTAATATGACTTATAGTTTGTAAGTAATTTAGAAGAGGTCCAGATTAGAACGAGCATATGAAATAAATATACAGAAAAATATTTAGCAAACGCAAGCAATTACGTATTATGCATGTGCAAATGTCGATATATTGATATATTGATGAGGTAACGTTTTTTTTTTATGCAAGAGTAATTTATTCAGAGTAATCCTAAGTCCTCTTTGACTAATCATAAAAATATACAATGGCGGGGAGGAAACTACAAACAATTCAATAAACGGTATGGTGATTCTAATAAGAGATAAATTTTCCCTTATTCTTATTTACTTAAGTGGTAAAATTGTTAACTCTTGAATCTACATGTATAATACTCTCGTTTCTAATTGATCTTAGTTTGATTTTTTGCAACATTCAAAAGGAAAAAAAGATGGAGGACTTAGGTATGGAACACCTAATTAAATTGCAAAACATTTACTGGTTGAAATTTAGATGTTTATGTATTTGGTAGAGAATTAAACCTCTAACCCAGTTAAAGCATAATCTTTAATTGCAATATTCAATGGCTTTCGTTTTATATTAACCTTATCCTTACAATATTTATTCCATATGAATCATTATCATTTGGCTTAAAAAATATCATACGTAATTTGATCTTTCTTGGAAACTCTAAATAGGTAATCGTACAAACTTTCTGCTGAAAGAGTCTGACTTTCTTTCCTGTTGTAACTGCAATGTTACAACGAGTTGATTAATAAATGGCCGGCTGAGTTTCAAAATCCTAAATTCTTTATCTTGGAATATTGTGAGGGAAATTCACAGCCGCTATTTTTCGGGTTCATATTAAGTAACATGCTCATTGTGCAATAACTTGCAAATCACACAGGAGATATAAACTGCATTAGACAAGTCTGGTGCGACGAGCTTTGACTTATGAAGCTACTGGTGATGGGAATCGATCCCTCCCACGTAGAAACCACTAACCCAACCAATCCATCAATCCTTGAGGGCTAAAAAAAATCCTAAATTTACCATTGCCAATTGTGACAGTTTTTGCTCTTTCTTTTGGCTGATTTTGTCGATGCATAGCTAGAATCATTATTCTAATACGGAGGCGAATAAAGCTTGGGTTCAATTGATTCAACTAAACCCAATATTTGTAACGTAGAACACATGTCTATGTGCATATGATGTGCTAAAATCACTTAAATTTCAACGCCTACTAAATATGGAACCCATAATTTTATTAATGCAAGGAATTTAGTTGTAGGAGCCTTAAAAGCTGAATCCTTGTAGCTTTTTCTACACCATCAAATCAATATGACATGCAACAACAGGTAATTGTCTATAGTGGCTAATTTACCTACAAAACAAAGCAAATAACCTTTTAGGGCCAATCAAAACACTTGATACTATAAATATAATCCACACAGTCAGTGTATATAAGTAATTTATTTGTAAATCACTATTCTAACTAAAAAATTAGTTGAGGGCACATATAGGTTGGTAGCTCAGAAGTTTAGTTGGTATATTGGTTATGTGTATATATAAGTCTTGTACACTCGTCTTTCAGAACCATTAAATAAAATAACATTTCCAAGTTATAGTACTCTTAGAATGAGTTCTCATCTTGAGTCAAAATCCTTCTTTTTCATACTGTTTTTGTTATTTAACTACATGCACTTGATAAATGGCATTACCCTTAGCCCCAAATTTACTGTTGTCATTCGCAATAACCTCCCAAATAACTCTGAGAAATTGAGTTATCGGATTCAGTCTGGAGAAAATGACTTTGGCCTTCGTACTCTTAATGTGAATGAGGAATTTAGTTTCAGATTTAAATGGAATTATTTTGGTACTACTGAGTTCTATTGTCACTTTTATTGGGGTTCAAAGTATCAACTTTTCGATGTATTTAATAATACTTCTCCATGTGCACATAATTATAAAAATGGTCTGTGTTTGTGGGTAGTAGAAGAGAGTGGTTTCTATTTAGCTGCTGATAATCCAAATCCATCTCCTGAGGATTTGCATAAAAGAGCTGACTGGAAATCTAACATGTTTAACTACAAATATTATTATTTGAATGAAAATTTTAACTATCTGGATATGCAACGTATTTATTTTTGCATTTTGATTTCTGTTACATTAATTGAAGGATTTGCATTTCCTGTTAGACAATTAAAATTGTGGTGGATGAAGATGAATTCCAAGGGCCATTTTCCACGGCTAATCCTCCATTTGGTGATCTTGATAATTGGTCATCCTCCAAGTTTTGTTAAAATCAACAGATCCTGTTAAGTCAAGTATTTTAAACCAATTTTTGAAATGTAAAGTTTAAGTGTCTATTCCAAAAATGCAAATAATAAAATCACAAAGCCCCAAAAACATAGTCTATAAACTGCAACTTTTCCTTGAAACAAAGTTCAGACCAACTACTTTCTTCATAATTTAAATTTTCCCTTTCAATTCAAACAAACACACGCCAGAAAATGGCTTTCCTTTTCGTTCGCTTCATTTTTCTTGACAAATAAACTTCATCCTTAAGGAAGTCAAACCTAGAACTGCCTTTCACCAAACAAGCGGCAATATTGGAGAGGAATCCATCCACTTGGTAAACAACTAATCCATCCACGGCTGACTATATCAAACTCAGTTAGTTTCTCATTTTGGGTACATCTTTTCTAAATCCTTGGCATTCTTACTTTTGGTGCTTCTTTTTTGTACATGTAACTCATGCACCTCCTTGGTGCTTTTCCTTTTAATATACAGTATTCTTCAACGAAATGCACAGATAAAAGATCAGGATAGCCGGGATGACCTATTTCAAGATCAGATGATTCACCTCTTTGTCGGCTTGGGAGGGCTAACTCGGATAGGACAGATACGAGGGAAACAACCCATAAAAGAGAGATCGGATGCCCTTTCCGATGCAGTTCACGATGCAGAGCTGCCAACTAGCTAAGCTAGGTAGTTTGTTGTTAGAATAACTATCCTAGTAAGAAGATGGAAAGAATATACTATACACTATAGGAGAGTCAGAGAATAGGCCTGTTGGAACTATATCAAGATTAGAATGACAAGGAATATCAAAAGAAACCATGCGCAAGCGTTAAAAAAACTGTAATATTGAAGTGAAGATGTTGGAGGAACACACCAAGGCCTAGCACCTAATTTATCCAAATTGGCCAGTGCATCATCAAAGAAAACCAAAGCAAAAGGAATGAGAAACAAATGTAGCTTATGGACAGTGTCAAGGAAGAACTACATTACAGACACGATCTCATAAACAAAGCTTTCTCATTTTTCAATGACATGACATAGAGAGATCAAAGCAATAGTCTAACTGAGTTTGCCTCTGTCAAGCTATATTACTTCCTAATAGTGTGGGAGACTTACTGAGCACTAAATCTTACGAGAAGGTAAAAGATGGTTTCTCTCAGGATCACCCTTGGAAATTGAAACAAACAGAGGTGGAGCTCCAAGCACACATCTCAACCACAAAAAAAGGAAGTTGAAAATGGTAAAGAAAATTAGAAAAAGCACAAAGAGTTTTAGATGTAACAGTAGAGATAGAATAAAATACCTTGTCTTCATAGAATTCTTAGTACTCTTTCTATTTTGGTATCCAAGTGAGAACCAACATAACAAGATCGCTAATTGCCAAAGAAAATATTGTAAAATCCAGTGACGATACAGCAATACAAACGAATCAATGCTAAAAAAGAAAAGAATAGTTTCCGTTGCTCACGATAAATTAAGAATGTTGTTTAAACAGAGATGGTGCATTGTATTAGCATGTTCGAGCCACATTTTACCAATTACTGCTATGCCATTGTTCAAATACCTTAAGTTTTCCTTCAGTTTCCTTGATCAACATGAGCAAGAGCAATCATACTTGAAAAAGCGATACACGAGTCACTCGTGAAGGTTGGCATATTCTGGTCAGTACTCATGATTAACTAGATTAAACCTTGCTTGAGCTTTGATTCATATTATAAGAAACCACCATTGAACGAACCCATACCTTGTTGAGAAATTATGCCAAGCTAGAATAAGCCAATTATGAACTCAACCAGACCGACTTACACCTCAAAATGAATGTTATATATAGACTTCTGCCCAATGTTAAAATGAGAAATTCCATTCTAAACCATGTACAATTATTATACAGGCACGCGCACGCATATACTAATTTCAAAATTTTCTCATATAATCTCTCTTATTGAAGAAAATAACCAGACAAGAAGAACACAAAGCCCAATAAAAGTCCACCATATATAAGCAATGCCTTTTGGCCAGAGGTAAGAGTATTACCACCTAACCCATACTGCTGATTCTGAGCAAAACCAGCAATCTCCACGCTCTTGTTATCAAAGAAACTCTTCGCAGCGCCGCAAGTCGGACACCTCCAATCCGCCGGCAGCTGATCAAACGGCAAACCTGGAGGAATGGGATAAGAAGGGTCTCCAACAGCTTCATTATACTTGAACCCACATGACCTACACTCATAAATCCCAGTATTCAACACAGCAAACTTCTCCTCAAGCCTCCTCTTGTCAAATTTGTCTTCCTCTTCCTCCTGCTGCTCGGGTTCTGAAGTGGGTGTCTCGGAAGTGGGTTGTTCTGAGATGGGTTTGTCTTCTTTGGAGACATCAATGGACTTTGGAAGTGAGCTGAATGATTGGGTTCTAATTGGGTTTCTGTAAAAGGAGGAAATTGAGTGGGATTTGAGGTGAAAAGGTGGGAATGTGAGGTGGGGTTTGGGTTTTGGAGATGATGGTTGTGTGAGTGAATTAGGTGTGAATGTGAAACAAGCTCTTGTGGTTGCTGAAGCCATTCAAAAAAGTTCTTTTCTTCTTCTTGAGTTCTATATTGGGATGAATCAATGGTTATGTTTTGGTAAAGGTTTCAGTGAATCAGTAGTCTTGTGTTTGCTCTGTGGGGAGGAACATGTGGATATAGAGAAACCAACAGGGATCCATGAAAGCGCATATGCCCTTTCAAATTTGAGGAATTGGATAAGGTATAAATATGAACTGATTCTAATTATTTCTTTATTTTCTCAACTTATTTTTTATTTCTTCCCTTTTTGTCAGAAAATATGTATCCAAGATAGGACTAATAATTTATGAATATCACGTGTTAGTTGTCATTTACTTGTAATAATAAGTCAATTAATTATATAAATAGGTTTTCACGATTAATGCCTTTTTTCTAGTGTATTAAATTTAAAATCATAATTTATTACTTATTCCTAGTGGTAATCTTGTTTGGGTGATTGTAATATGTTGTATTATATCGTATTGTTACTTTAAATATAATATTTATTTTGATCGTTACTTAAATTTTATTGTATTGTATCGTTAAATTCATCGTTACATAGCAACGAAAATTTTCACTTTATAAAACTACTGATTTGGTGTAGTCGCGTCGTTACCTTATTTTCCTCTCATCTTGTCCTTCCATATTATTATATAATCATATTTTATCATTTAACCTACCTTTTTATATAATAATTATATCTTGTACCTTACATTTTATTTATAATATTACAAGTTTATTCTTCATATTATTGGTGTATGACACTATAAAATGATAAAAAATAATATAATTTATCCAAAAATTATATACATCAAAACGATACACTATAATATAATATTATATGATAAATTATAAAACGATATATAACAATCATCCTAACAATAAAATACATTGTTAAACTTATGAGCTATTTGTTATTAGTTAATCCAAAGGCATTCTAAAGTTAGTGAGATCAGCTTGTGCAGGCGTGTGCACCACATCACCCCGATCTAGTCAACCATTTCAACCCCAACCCGAGTCGTACACGAAATAACCTCAAAATTACCAACCCTCCCTACCATTCCCCCCTTACCCCTGCTCGTGACTCCCTTTACTTTCGGCCTAACCACTCCCGCACCGCACCCTTCTTTACCACTTTTTTTTT